GACAATAGACATCATGATGCTGAGCCGGCATCACAATCCTCCGCCCTGCCCCTGTCGCAGCAAGATCCTGCTTACAAAAAATACACACAGCCCCGTTTATACTAATACGTCTTAGTTTTAAAATGGCATTTTAGAACAAAAACAATCCACGTCCACTCTGGCGTTTTATCTAGCATTTCTGAACAGCTCTTCATCAACATTATACTGCTGAAAACGCATATCATGTGAACCCACTAAAACACACACTTTGTCATGCGCTGCAGCATACACTCGCATCTAAGCTACAGCAGTCAGCAGGTGCATTGAGCACAAAATCCCAGAGAGCAGTGCACGTCGACTGTTTCTTAAGGATGTGCCACATGATATTTAATTAATATTGTCTCTATCTAGCAACTCTTTGATCTTTAAAATCTATCAGGTAATGTGTCACAGCGTCAGTACACTGCTTCAGTCTTTCACGCTTGTACTTAGTAATTTTAGTGAAAACCTCAGATGCTGTTGGTTGGTTTCTGTTGTTTGTGCATCTTTTTTACCAACCAAGTTTGTCGACCCCATTATAACGACACAGATCACTCTGCGAGTCCCGCGGAAAAAAGTGATTGACTGTGTTAAATTGTGTCTAACTTATCTTTATTTATTTATGATTTGGTTATGGGTATAAAACAAAGACCATGCGGGTCAGGTAGTTGAAATTATAGACTACAAATAATTAACTTGTTATAAATTAATTAATTATTCATAAATAATTAGTTCACCGCTGCACATGACCACAGTGCCATCGTCCAAGGTGATTTTTCACATTAGACATCGTACGATGCCAATTTGGTCGGCATCGTCTAACCCTAATATAAGTCAACATTTGAAGTGGACAAAACTAAAAGTTATAGTGTTTAATTAATAATACTAATTAATAATATATCAATTTATTAAATCGATTTTAAATGAGCAAATATGTATACTGTATATTAGTGTATATTGATAAATATTAAAATATTGTATGCTGTTTTGTACGGTGACGCACTGGGTAGCAAGATCGCCTCACACCAAGAAGGTCGCTGGTTCGAGCCTCGGTTGGGTTAATTGGATTTGATTGGCTACAGAACAAATGTCCAATAACTTGCCTAATTTACTCATTCATTTTCCTTCGGCTTAGTACCGTTATTCATAAGGGGTTGCCACAGCGGATTGAACTGCCAACTTATCCAGCATATGTTCTACACAGCGGCAACCCAGTACTGGAAAACATCCATACACACTCATGCACAATGGCAAATTTAGTTTATTCAGTTCACCTATACCGCATGTCTTTTGACTGTGGGGGATACCGGAGCACCCAGAGGAAACCCACACGGACACGAGGAGAACATGCAAACTCTTACAAAGAAATGCCAAGCCGAGGTGCGAACCAGCGACCTTCTTGCTGTGAGGCGAAACTGAGCCACGTGCCGCCACGTTTAAGACTTTACATTGTACTTTAATTTAAATAATAACTTGCAAAACAACTAGTGAAAAACAGCACATGAGTGAAATTCTAAATATTTTGCTAAATTATTAAAATTTCACAGGAGAAATAATAATTTTACTTTCAAATGTGCACGTGATATGAAAAAATAAAATAACCAGATTACTTGATTATCTCTATTTAGAAAGTTATTTTATTTTTTTATTTTAGAATAACAGGGTGATTTTACAGGGGTGTGCATCTGCATAAAATATAATATAAAATATAATAAACAACTTATTAATAAACAGAACAAATCTTTAAATAAAATAAACAGGCAAAAAAATGTTCATGCAAATATGACAGTTTATACGTATAGAAAAAAATCTAATGTAAATGAACACTGTCATCTTCACAGTTTAAAATAATCTCATGTGATATCTACAAACATTACATATTCTTGCTGCCAAATGCTTTAATCTCATTTTGAAAGCTATTATAAACAAGTAAATGATAAAATTTTACTCTAATATTGTTAAATTCACAAACAATCCACAAAGCTGTGGTGCCTGTCAACTGTTTTGTATGTTGACATCATCACACATCCTGCGATTTAAATGCTGGAATGATATATTGTGCACATTGGGACACAGTGAGAATGTATGAGTCCTTGTCAAATCACAGAAAGACAGAGCCATAAGTTTCATATATATTTAATAAAAGGCACTCAGAATATCATGAATAAAATATAGTGCTTAAACAATCAAAATATATCATACAGCCATAGCATACATTCATGAGATGCTAAATGCCATAATGACCACATAACACTGGCATTATCACCTTTGTCGGTGGAATAATTGTATAAAATCAAAATAGAGCTCTCAGGATTCACTGAACAATCACCTTCAATATTGCTTCCAGTATTATGCCATACTGACATAAAAATGCATGCATGAGGGAATACTCGCAAGATTTTTCCATTGACGCAATGGAGGGTTTCATTTTTTAAATATTATATTTCTACCTCTAGTCAAAGCATGGTCATTTTATCAAATTCAGAATGTTTTCATGCATCTTTTTTTATTAAATGTACATGATAAAAAGCATTTTAGGCTTTATATTGCAGTTATACATTAAATATGTGGAAAATGCAATGTTACCTGCTGGCATAAGGTTCTTTTTCAAGCTTATTGGAAAACTCGCTTCAGCTTCCCTGAAAGTGCTGTATTGCTTTGCTTTAGTCAGTGCTGAAATGCTACAATCAAAATTTGCTTTGGAAACAAATATTTGTTCTCTCTGTGTGTTTTTTTAATTTTTTATTTAAAACTTTGCTTTTTACAAAACATGCAAATGTGCAATATGTTTAGTGCGAATGAAGCAGGAATTATTCTCCCATAAAATGAATTCCTGCTATAAAGTAATGTTAAAGTGATGGTTCACTCATAAGGTCAAACTTTGTTGATTTTCTCACCCTTTATTTTTTTAAAAAGATTTTTAGCTGAGACTGTGGTCCTTGGTCATGGTAATACATTTATAAGTAGTGATCAAAAACCTCAACCCACATAAAAAATACAGAAATTTAAAGTAAATACTATAGTATTTCTGAACCAAGCTATAGTACATTATTTACACCTCTGATAAAGAATGCTATGGCATACTGTAGTATCACTATAGTGAACTGATGAAATGTAACGCATACTGCATTATACTTTAGCTTTTACTACAGTAAACTGTGGTGTATTATATTAAAAAAATTGCATTAGTTGTAGAAAACTACACTATTGAGTCATTAGTTCACATCAGTGGTCCCCAATCTTTTTATCACCACGGACCGGTCAACGCTTGACAATTTTACTGCGAACCAGGGGGTTTGTTTATAGGTTGATAGACTACCATCAACAGTTTTCTTAGAGGATGACAAGCTGACAAAATATTGCTGTCACTTTAATGCATGTTTTATTCACTCATTCATTTTCTTTTTGGCTTAGTCCCTTTATTAATCTGGGGTTGCCACAGCGGAATGAACCGCCAACTTATTCAGTATATGTTTTTACGCAGCGAATGCCCTTCCAGCTGCAACCCATCTTTGGGAAACATCCACACACACTCATTTACACTCTTACACTACGGACAATTTAGCTCACCCAATTCACCTGTACCGCATGTGGGGGCAACCGGAGCACATGGGGAGAACATGCAAACTCCAAACAGAAATGCCAGCTGACCCAGCCGAGGCTCGAACCAGCGACCTTCTTGCTGTGAGGCGACAGCACTACCTACTGCACCACTGCGTCGCCTACATGTTTTATTTATGGAGAAAATGACAAAGCACTGCAGTGTTTGGGTGCTCTGTGTTTGTCTGGGATAATCAGTCTAATGTGTATATTCCAAACAAAGTATAAAGCTAATCGGTCAGTTCTTGTCATGTGACTCTTAACAAGACTTGTCACTTGTTACGCCACTTGCACACACAAGCCACGTATCTCCATTGGAAATAACCAACTTGCGCGAACTCTAGAAAAGACATGATATACGAACGGACTCTAAAATTCCGCCGTCGTTTGCAATCTCCAGCATTTGAGCTTCTTGCACAAATATGCTGGACTTACCTAATTTGTTGATAAATAAGTAGCACATCTACTACTTGGCAGTTCGCGGGTCTTTCTCTTAGTAAAGAAACTTTCTAAAGACGTCTGTTTCTTACTCATTCCGCTGCTTGTGGGTTAAATATGAGATGTAACTGAGGTGTAAGCAAGAAAATATGGTCATTTTTTTAAATAAAATGTTTTTCGAAATGAAAGACCACTGGTTTACATTACCAAAGTCCCTTTAAGGCATTTTACTCAGCGGCCATCTTTGAAATGCCTCTTGGGCAGTATGCTCGGCCATTCTGTTTGAACAGGGAAACGTCAAATTCTCCAAATGCCTCCCAAGCTTTAAACAACAACTGTCTGTTTAGTTTAATTTCTAAACGTTATCACATAAAATCTGCAGAAACTGACGTCTGTTCTGAGCCCCTCCCTGGAGAAACGTCAGTCTGTAGCGGTCAATGATTGGCTACTTTACTAGAAGGCGGGGCTTAATTCGCCATATTGACGTTACACTTTTTCCCATTGAAAAATATTCAAGTGACTTATGTTGTATATTCTCGAGCAGTGGTTCTCAAACTGTGGTACATGTAGCACTAGTGCAGGGGTGGCCAACCCTGTTCCTGGAGAGCCACCTTCCTGCAGATTTCCGTTGCAACCTATATCAAACACACCTGCCTGTAATTATCACGTGGTCTTCAGGTCCTAATTAATTGGTTCAGGTGTGTTTGATATGGGTAGCAACTGAAATCTGCAGTAAGGTGGCTCTCCAGGAACAGGGTTGGCCACCCCTGCACTAGTGGTACACAGGCTTCTAGTGGTACGCGGATGAATCAAATATGTCATATGTATATGCTACATATATTTAAATAAATTATCAAAAATCTTTTATATGAATATGATGACATAATGCCTATATTTATGAGGTCCAGGCAACATTTCCAGGTGCTGATAAACCAGGAGTTTTTTTCTTTTTTTACTTTTTTAGGAAGAGTAACCAACCGTTTTTTACTTTTTAAACGCACATTTTAATTTAAATGTTCTTCATAATAGGAACTAATATGCCTTGTTTTTGAAATGTACAGTGCTTTAGCTGCTTTATTACTGCTCATTATGGTGGTAAGTGCAAAGACAACTTGTTTTCTGAGGTGGTTTTGATGAAAACTGTTTGAGAACCACTGTTCTAGAGTCTTTGATATTACTATAGTTGTTGTGTTATCATAGTAACTATAGAAGCAGCACAATAGATTCATTCAATTACTTTACCATTTTATGGTTCTAAAACAGCTGTGGTATTTACTACAAACTATAGTATTGTTTATGTGGTAATGGATCATTAGTTATTTTGTTTTGCCTATATATATGTTGTCTGGCACTTAATGAACAACCAAGCGCCACAGTGTTAGTTAAAAATCTACTGGAATTGAACATTGTGCATGCGTTAAAGGTAAGCAAATTAGCAACAATTTGTTACTATCCCTCAAAGTAGTTGAGCTCAGGCATAGTGAAAAATTGTTTAGTGTTATAGATCTTACACTTACTCCAAAGTCAGAAATTGTACTCCTATGAAAGACAATAGTATCTCATTGATGGAAATCCATTATGGACAAAGATAGTGCTCATTTTAAGGATACCATGATAAAACGTTGTGTAATTGTTTTCATGTAGTTATGAATGTTACTAATAAGCTTGTAAAATAACAATTCTTCCTGTTCTCTTTATAATATGAATGTGTTACGTTGCATAAGTCCGCGAGAAAAGCCCTGATGTTGCATGTCTTTTGTTACAGTCTTTAGGCTGGATTAGATGATATATGTGCTGCAGTCTTTTCCATCTTTTTTGCAGCGGCAGATCATTAATTACTGTACAGTACATGCATTGTGCGATCATGCACTCTGCCTTAATGGCATTCAAGTCAGCTTAAATCAGTGTGATACATGAAAATCTATTCCAGAAAAACACTTGTTACCAATTAAAGCTTCTTTTATGTGTGCTCCTTTGACCGACAGGTATTGTTTTGAGTGGCTAACCCATATAAATCCATGCTAAAAGTCTTGTGCGTTTTCCAGCCGTACATATCCATGTGCATAATGACTAAGGCTGATAGTAGGCCAATAAAGCCTTCAGTTAAAGAGTAAGTGCTCTGTATCTTACTGGCTGTCATCAATGTTGTCGTATACATTCGGTCAAACGAGACAAGATAGTGAAACTGTTATACTGGACTAAAATTTGCCAAGCAAAGGCGTGTACAAAAACTCACTCAGCATACAAAGACTTTAAAAAAAAGGAAGAAGAAAAACTCACCCTAAAGATAGAGCTCTAGTGTCTCGTTCTGTGTGTGTGTTGACCAGAATAGAAACACCAGAAAAAAATGTGGGACGAGCAGCAGGCTGATGCTGCCACAGCACGGTGGGTCATCCAAATATAACATACTTGCATGCGTAGGATACTGTATTTAAATTCCAAACAGACCTGATTATGTATGACAACTACCAGGCCTGTTAGAGGAGACGTTCGGTGACATTGAAAGATGGATAACAGTTTGGCATAAGCTTTTTTTCTCACAAGCAGCAGGGACAAAAGGTGATGTCAGTGCAAAACTCTATAAAGGAACGACAACATCAGCAAAAGGTGGTGCTGGGTGGATGCTCAGAGTGCAGATTCATGATTCCTCGGCATTAATTTGAGGGACTCGGCAACACAGGCACTTAATCGCTATTAATTAAATGCTTGTTTTGACCTCAGTCAAACGCCGTTTGCCTCGCAAATGATGACATGAGTCTTTTTTCCTTAAGTGTTCTGTGATTCATATTCCTTTTTTGTCAGTTCAGTGCAGTTCAGTTTGTGTTACCGTAAAGCCTTAAAGGGATGTTCCTTGCAATATTTTTTGCTTCCTTTGAGTAGATAGTGCCTCCAAGGTTTATAGTCATCCATCTATAAGATGTTTTTTTAGCAGCCTTTGGCTAAAACAGCATCCTGTTTGAGGTCTCCCATTGAAACAGCACATTCTGCAAAGGTACTGTTGGTATATGCATAGCATTGGGTATATATGTAGAACTCTAAATTAAGCAGTTGTCAAACCATAAAACGGAGAGTTTCTAAGTGCATTGTTGTACAGTCATTATTGCTAGTCATGCGAAATATACCTTAATCCTCATGGAATGCCATTTTTTCCCGTCTGCCAGTTCCCATTGCTCTTGTCCAGCGAGTAATTGCTTTCATACTTTTCCTCTGAGCTGTTTTTCTGATTTGCGGCAGCCTCAGCAGCGGCATCAATCATGTTTTTTTCGCCTTGCTCCGTTTCCCGATGGTAGAAGTAGTTGAAGTTAGAGACGATCACGGGAACAGGAAGCGCAATGGTCAGCACGCCAGCGATGGCACAGAGGATCCCAACCATCTTACCCCCCAACGTGATGGGGCACATGTCACCATAGCCGACTGTTGTCATCGTGACCACAGCCCACCAGAATCCTTCCGGGATGCTCACAAACTGAGTATCAGGTTCGTCAACCTCAGCAAAGTAAATGGCACTGGAGAAGAGGATGACGCCAATGAAGAGGAAGAAAATAAGCAAACCCAGCTCCCTCATGCTGGCCTTCAGGGTTTGGCCCAGAATCTGGAGGCCCTTGGAATGGCGAGACAGCTTGAAGATCCTGAAGACACGCACTAATCGGATGACACGTAGCGTGGCCAGAGACATGTTCTGGTTGGCGGTGGGGTCCTCTTCCTCTTCCTCTTGAGTGGCCATCAGTTCCGTAATGACGGTTATGAAGTAGGGCATAATGGACACAATGTCTATAACATTCATGATATTGCTGAAAAACTCACTTTTGCTCGGGCACACCACGAAACGTACTCCGAGCTCAAAACAAAACCATATAATACAGACAGTCTCCACCACAAAGAAGGGGTCAGTAAAGGCAGAGATCTTATGGGGACGAGGACGGGACAGCAGCGTGCCATTGGCATCCCGGGTTAAATTGACGAATGCAGGAACAAATTCGCGTTCGTCACGGAATTCTGGGAGCGTCTCCAGGCAGAAGATGCAAATAGATATAGTGATGACAAAAACGGACACTAAGGCCACGGACCTGGCAGCGCTGGAGCTCTCGGGGTACTCAAAGAGCAGCCAAAATTGCCGGTGGAGCTCACTGGTCGGGAGCTGAGGCTCAGGGTCTTTAATGAAACCTTCGTCTTCCCTGAATTGCTCCATCACCTCATGCCCCAGTTGATAAAACACCATCTCATCCGCAAACACATCCAATGGCACGTTCGCTGGCCTCCGAATCTTTCCTCCAGACTGATAGAAGTATAAGATACCATCAAAGCTGGGGCGGTTGCGATCAAAAAAATACTCGTTCCTCATGGGGTCAAAGTAGTCAATCCGTTTCATGGGGTCTCCCAGTAGAGTATCTGGGAACTGATTCAAAGTTTTGAGCGTTGTCTCGTACATCATCCCTGAGACGTTGATGACCACTTTTTGTTCACCCTCCTGGAATTTCTCCTTTTCGGTGAAATAGTCCTCGCAACAATCCTTGGATACTTTTCCCAGCAGAGCCTCGTTGGGACTGCCTTCGCTGCTCATCAGGACCTTCCAGTTGGAGATCAGGCTGTTGCAGCTGGAGGTTCCCTTCTTGCTGAGTGTTGGTGGGGATGTCAGTGAGTGTCTCGGCTGTCTTCCTCTCTGGGGTGAGTGTGTGGGTGAGTTCATGCCACAGGTGCCCTGGTTTCCTTCCGGGGCATCTGAGGTGGGTGAGGTCGGATATCCCGAGTCACTCGGGTCTCCCAGATTGATCCCGATGTCGTCCAGGTTCTCAAAGTTGACCAGAGGAACCTCCATGGCCTCCCTCCCCTCCCTGGGGCTGAGCTCGGGCTCCTAACCCAGGATGAAATGACAGACAGGCAGCCAAAAGCACAGGTCCAGCCAGCCACCTGCGCACCGCTGGTGTGAGGAGATCAGGGAAGATTCGGGCTGGTTCTGCAGCAGAGAGCCGGATCCCAAGATACTGTCACCTGATCTGCAGATAAAGACAAAGGGAACAAAACAGTTGTGTTACTGCGTGGAGGGTAAGGTTGCACCTTAGCCAGGCAGGAAACAATTAAAGCAATCTAAAGTAATAAAAACTCCACAACAAGACAAAGAAAATATTTTATTTTTAAGCTCATCTGCTTCAAGATTAGAATAAAACATTGGCTAACACGACGCCTACAACTGCAGAACATTATAGCTTTGGGTTAAAATAGGGTCTTTATTCTTTTAGATGCCACAGCAAAGACCACTTGGGATATAATTATCCTAGTGTGAGGATTCATCATAAAATGTATACGGTATCTATTTGGTTTCTTGTTTAAAGACCCTATTCACAGCTCAGCTCAGGATTTGCTTTAAGTATTTGTGTTTTAATGTAAAATAATTAGTCAGGCGACATGGTGGCACAGTGGGTAGCACTGTTGCCTCACAGCATTAAGGTTGCTGGTTCTAGCTCCGGCTGGGTCAGCTGTCATTTCTATGTGGAGTTTGCATGTTCTCACCATGTTGGCGTGGGTTTCCTTTGGGTGCTCCGGTTTCCCCCACAGTCCAAAGACATACGCTATAGGCAAATTGAATAAACTAAATTGGCCGTGTTGTATGTGTGTGAATGAGAGTGTATGCGTGTTTCCCAGTGCTGGGTTGCAGCTGGAAGGGCATCTGCTGCGTAATAACATATGCTGGATAAGTTGGCGGTTCATTTCACTGTAGCAACCCCTGATTAATAAAGGCACTAAGCCGAAAGGAAAATGAATGAAAATAATACGTCTTAAAATAAAAGTATGTGATCACTTTTGAGCAATTAATTGGATAAAATGTCAGTAGGCCGAAACAAAAATGCACTTTATATAAACATGTTTAGATGTTTTATTATACTTATTTATTTGAAATACAATTTCTATTATTTTGAAACCTATTTATATTCCTTATTGACATTTCTAATTTCAATTATTATTTTGTAAGAAATCTAATTATTTTATTAGATTAATTTAGATTTTTCATTTGTTTATATTTATCCCAATACATTCATTCATTTATTTTCTTTTCCGCTTAGTCTCTTTTAATCAGGGGTCGCCACAGCGAAATGAATCGCTAACTTATCTAGCAAGTGTTTTACGCAGTGGATGCCCTTCCAGCTGCAACCCATCACTGGGAAACACCCATACACTTACACCCATACACCCAAAAACACCCTTACACTTAATACACCCATAAACACCCTTAACCCAATACAGTGTTTGATTATTTTAAAAATAATATTTTCTTTATTGACTTATTTCAATTATTTAAAAATTTTTTTTTATTTTTTTTAATGATTATTCTCTAAATATTTCCACACAGCCCTAACACTCCCTTCAGGCCAACTGGAGGTCACAAGACCCCGGTTAAGACTCTAAATTTATTGCTGTTTCACACATGCACAGTATGACATGAGGCATTCAAAATGACAATAAAAGCTGAAGTCTTCTTTATTTCCAGTTTAGTACTAAGTCATTCACGTCTAGCTAATTAAATAAGCCAAATTAATGATTTTTTTCCCACAATGATTAACAAAATAAGAAATCAGTCAGCTCTGCTATTTATAAGTACTTTGAAGGAATTAATCCTGTATGAATATATATTACAGCCAGCAGATTGCATTTAGTCTCTCCTTGAAAACTCCTTGAATGTGTCTAAACAAACATAAATAATGCAGTCAAACCGAACACGTTTTCCTGTCCTCTGTCTTCTGCCAAGTCTGCTCGTGAGCTGAGAATTGCACTTTATCATCATTTCTCCCTTATGGCCTCCCGTGTCAACAGACACACCTTAATTCACATCTTCTGTGTTGTAATACAAGTGTTTAAACAGCAGAAGAGCTGTACTTACACTGCCGCGTTGCATATGGAATTAATAAAAGTTAATTAACCCAAAACACTTAGCCAATTTCAGCTAACAAAGAATAACAGGCACGAAGAGATCTTTTTAATTTGGTTCAAATTAATGAAGCTGATATTAAATATGTTATTTGAGCTGTAAAATTGGCTCAGTCAACATTTTATTACATTGATCCCATTTATGCTGGGACTGCTGTTCTAGGGTAATGAACTTCAGGTTATCTGATGTTGTAACCATGCATTTCCTGCAGGTGAAGTTTCAGGTAAGTGTTACATCACTTCCTTGTCTGTTTTACTTTCACATATTAACGCATATAACTGTTTAGCCATTGTACAGTTTTCAAAACTTCAACACTTTGCACACAAAATGTTAAAAATTCATAATATATGTAATTAAATTGATGTACATAGCACTTTGGTTTGAAAAATATACTCCAATAATCTTAATTTTATTACTCTGCAAAAATATTTTAGTAGTGTGGTATAATGCGTTATTTACACTTTTTTTTTTAATGACAACACAATTTACTAACTTTTGCAGCCAAATATATAATTCTGAGTATTTGTAATTAACATGCAGGACTTTAACATTTTGCCATTGTGAGTTACCTGAGAAAATTTACTGGCCATAAATATATTTTGCCCACCATGAAACTGAGTGTGGATTGTAATTTGTTAATAATCATTCACAACTTAGGGAATTTAAAAATAAATAAATAAATAAATCGTAATATTTTTATATTTTAATTTGTATTTCTACTTTATATATATATTCATTTATTTATTTTCTTTTCGGCTTAGTCCCTTTATTAATCGGGTCACCACAGCAGAACGAACCGCCAACTTATCCGGCATGTTTTGATGCAGCGGATGCCCTTCCAGCTGTGAACCCATCTCTGGGAAACAACCACACACACTCATTCACAGTCTTACACTACAAACAATTTAGCTTACCCAATTCACCTGTACCACATGTCTTTGAACTGTGGGGGAAACCAGAGCACCCGGAGGAAATCCACACGAACACTGGGAGAACATGCAAACTCCACACAGAAACGCCATCTGACCCAGCCGAGGCTCGAACCTGCTACCTTTTTGCTGTGAGGCGACAGCACTACCTACTGCGCCACTGCGTCGCCCATTTTATATGTATGTTATATTTAAATTATAATAATATTTAATTAGGTGTGACATGGGGGCTTTAGCACTGTTGGGTCACAGCAAGAAGTCTGCTGGTTCGAGTCACGGCTGGGTCAGTTGGCGTTGCATGTTTGCATTAAGGGAAATAGTCCATAGTGCATGTGTGTGAATGAGAGTGTATGGGTTTCCCAGTCATGGGTTGGGGCTGGAAGGGCATCCGCTGCCTAAAACATGCTGGATAAGTTGGCGGTTCATTCTGCTTAGGTGAACTCTGATTAATAAAGGGACTGAGCCGAAAAGAAAATGAATGAATAAATTTAATATTTTCCTTCGTTTGCAGCAGATGTCCTTTCAGCTGCAACCCATCACCATAAGTTCTTTTTCACACTCTTACACTAGAGACAGTTTAGCTTACTCAATTCACCTATAGCACATCTTTGGACTTGAGGGAGAAAACCAGAGCACCTGGAGGAAACCCATGCAAACATGCAAACTTCACACAGAAATGCCAACTGACCCAGCCGAGGCTCGAACTAGCGACCTTCTTGTTGTAAGGCGACAGCGTTACCCACTGCGCCATCACATCACCCTATTATTAAATTACCTAAATAATATTAATATTTAATTTCAACAATAAAAATGTCAAAATCTAATATATATGATTGTGTTTTGTCTCTTTAATTTAAAATATTACACCATAGAGCATCAGTTTTAGCCACAGGGAAGCTTTTTTGTAATGTTTGTCTAATTTATTCATTATTTTCTTTACCAACCTAGGTAGATGTTTGATGCATGTTGCATCACTTTTCAAACTCGCAGGACTTGTAGAGACAGATATTGTATGGATCATTTACAGCAAAACCAAGCTGCTGCAAAACACTGAAAACTCTGCAATCAAGTGCTGCTCATAGTGCGCAACAGACTACATATTTATGTATGTATTAATTTAGTGATGGTGAGTAAATAACTTTTTTTTCTTTCTTAATTTGTTTCGGTGAGCTATCCTTTTAAAATTAGAGACTGCGATTTATTACGTAAATTAAAGACTGCGATTTATAATGTAAGCTATTTTAGTGGTACATCGTCGTCATTTAGAGCTATTCTGAGAAAAAATAGCTCGCATGACTTTGTAGACACAGGTCAACACGGGTCTTCAACTATAAAACATGGTTTGACCCAGGCCCGGATTGGCTAATTGGGAGGACAGGGAGAATTCCCGGTGGGCCGGTCCATTTTTTGGCAGTGAGGGCCGGTGTCCCTAGCTCCAGAATCTGTTGCTCTCAGCAGTCACACTTTTTAAATTAATTTATTTATTTACTTGACCACAGTCTTCTTATTCACCTTTCACTATTTAACTGTTGTGGTCCAGTGGTTAGCATGTAAAATTACAACACCGCCGACCCGGGTTTGATCCTCGTCTGAGTATGTTATTATTTTCATTTTTATTGTTGAGACATATAATATTGTTTGGGTTGTTGAACATTTGAAGTTCTAAAGCAGCTGTTTTCTCAAAAAAAGACGTGATAGTGTTATTAGAAACTGATTTGGAAATTACCTTATTTTAATATAGTCAGTTGTGAACTGAGGTGGGCTGGTCTAAGCCTTGAAACTCCAGGGCTGAAAAGGAGTCCCACTCCGGCCATGGTTTGACCAACTGATGAAACGCCATAATTCTGACTTGTTAACGCGAGAACACGTAAACAACAGATCAACACGAGTCCACAACCACAGCAAAGCATATTTTGACTGATAAAGATATTAAACAGACCACTACATGTATAGTAATAGCTCAGTTAGATAGGTTGATTGATACTGAACCTTTTGACTACATGAGTTCGAATCCCGTTGAAGATGTAAATTATTATAATTTTTTTAGATTATTTTGGTTATATACTGTTCTGCTACACAAATATTACAATCAATAATGTTTAAAATGACACTGAAACCAAGTAATAAGATTATTTTTTTGGTA